ATAAAATGAGCTAAGAAAATATGGTTCCAAATATAATTTGAAAACAACAAAAAATGGCAGAAAACAAAACAAAAGTCCAGGAATTATGAAGGACATATTTTTTATTTTGTTTACTTTTAGCTACTTTTTTTTATATATAATGTGGTATTAATTTGTCAGAGAATTCAAAAGAATTACACATTACTACAAAGAAAATTATACATAATATTAGATGTAAAATCTGAATAATTTTCATTTAGTTATTTGCTGTGGTTAGAACCACATCTCTCTCATCGATGTTTCTAACTCTATCCCTCTCTGTAAAAAAATCAATAAAATATATATTAAAAATTCATAAGTATGAAAAATTCTTTGAAAATTAATACATTTATTTTATATTTTCATAAAGACAGTAAAACACATGCAATCTCCATCTCACTATCTTGGTCTTCAGTGGATATACAGTAATCTAGTCACAATTTTGTTATGTATGCCAAGACTACAACTAGAAAGTAATGTTTATTTTCTCTTTGAACTATTTGTTTTTGTTCTTGTAGATGCTAGTATTAGAGCCTATGTGAGTAGTCTGTTTTCGTCACAAGTTTCTTATTTGTCATAAGGCATTATTTTTTAGTTTATCTAGTCTTCGTATATTACTGCCATGCAGACTCTATAGGATGATAAGTTAATATTCAAGACTGTCAGAAAGATTTTCAAATATAAATATCACCCCTTGATTTTAAAGCACATTATTTAAATTTCTACCTATAAAACCAGCCAAGGAAATGTAGATGTTTCAACACATTACAACATACTATTATATACTCTTCTTACATAAAGAACTTAAAACATATCTAGCTGACAGTGAATTCAGAAAACTACGAAAATCTTTGCCAATAGCACAACTGAATATAAACATAAGACTTCTTTAGTCATATTAATGATTGTTTACTTGTTTATAGGAGAGTAGGATAAGGAGGAAAATTTTCTTACACCCATTAATATATCTTTTTAGGGAACCTCAGCCCTGATATTCAGTACATTCCTGTAGTAAAATATAAGCAGGTTAGGGCTGGATGCAAAAGCTATATGTACAAAGTTCATATGAGTTATTCCCAAAGAATCAGAAAATTTCACATAGATGTTAGTATTTCCAAATTCTGTTGTAAATTAGCTTTCACATTCCAAACAAAAGGTCAGAAAAGAAATGAGACAAGAAAAAATCAGGATGACTTTTTTTTTTGTAGTGAGAAGATAAAATAGTGTTATTATATTATACATTGATGGAATAATCCATTAGAAAGGAAAAGGATGAAGCATGAGAAAGAAGAGAAGATTTCTTGAGTAAGTAGAAGGCAGTGTATTTTTTCTCGTGAAAAATAGAGAATTCATTTTACATTTTTAGGTCGAAAAGCTGTTGAGAGAGACTGTAAGAAAATGAGAATCCATGCATTTTACAGAATAAATTTTTATGTATGCTGGGGATAAAACTATATTCATGTAGTGAATATGACCAGATTCACCAGATGGAGGTATTAATCCTTTATTCCTTGAATTAAATAATATCCTTTAATCTTAATATCCAATAATACTGTGCCTCCATTTACATATCTCAAAGAATTACCTTTTCTTCTTCCCTATGATCAGGCCAAGTGTTTTACACTCCACCTCATCAACTTAAACTTCCGTAGATCTTATGTGGTCCATCAGATTAATGATATTGTAAATTGTATTGAAGAGGAAAAAAAAATAGAAAAATTCTTCTGTCCTCAGAGAAATATGACCTCTTTTAGTATTTTTTAAACCTCTATGGTGTCATTTTGTATCTTAGGCAATTAAACAATCAGAGTGAACTTTAGTCCCCTGCTTTTATTCTTAGCAATAATAGTATCTCTGAGTATTTGGGGGAGAAGACTCTCACTTGTATTTTTATATTTAAGTACTATAGACTTATGAAATTGAAGACCTTTGGTCCACATGTTATGTAGCCAAATGGTATATATGTCATGTACACAAGTGGCTCACAACACCCTACACATGTACTCACTGCCATATTCAGCAGAGCATATCTGCAATGCTAAACTATCAGTTATTACTAGAGGATCCAAGAGTCAGCCATTATCTACTACATTTATGATTCAGTCCTCAAAACAAAGAAAGCCATCCATCTCTCAATAGCAGCACCATTCAGAAATAGTAGGATACTGGCCTTTCTTTACAGGATATATCCCTATCTTGTGACACCAAATGTCTCTTTCGTTGTAATTCTAAAATTGTAGAGTTGTTAACCTCTTTTTAGTCAAGAAAAAGCATTGGTTAAATGATAAACCTCATGTTAAAACTATAACTCATCAATACTCTGAAAGGGCTCTGCATCCTTCCTTCAGTTGGTGATTATATACCAGGTTCCTAGACCACATCTGCCCCCTCTCCCAAACAAAACAGATTTCCAATTTTGCCATAGTGATCTAAGGTAGTTTTATTGCAGTGGCCACAATCCCCATCTGCTTTTGTGGTAATCTGCAATCTCTTTTCTTGGAGTTCTTTCAACAGCAGATCCAGAAGTTCCTGAGATACCCTTCATTTATCTTAAAGCCATCCTTTCCGCTGTTCCACGTCATGCTCCTGCTTCTTCATCTGGATCCCTTTGTAATGCTGGCTGTAAGGCTGGGATGCCATCTCCAGGGCCCCTGAAACCGAAGTTCTAGATTCAGTTGCCTCTCAGAAACCTACATAAAGCTCACAAAGGGTAGTAACATAGAAGAATTGTCCTACCATTTCCAAACTCATTGTTGGTTTACTGCCAATGCACCTCTGTCATTCCACCCTGATTTTTAAAATCCTCATTTATAATTCTTTGGAATAGAGTATTTGAGTAGCCTATTTTAATCCTGAATCTATATTCTGCTTATGTCACATCTGGTCTCATTTATCAATTTGTCTTCAATAGTTTGTAGGCACATGCCAATATCATCTTTTCTCCTTGTATTTCAACTATATATCTATAGGTCTGAGTCAGAGGATAATCTAATACTAAGGTTGTAAAATATAGGCAGAATAATCATTTTTTTCCACAACTGAAGCCTTGACCTAAGCCAATATTTGAATATCTTAAAGCCTCCTTTGGTACAAATCTTTTCCAGAAGATTCCACTGTCTTAAAAATAAGAGATAGCTGATGGTGATGTCCTATTTGCTCCCTAGACATTCTCACATATGTTTTATTCCTCAGACAAACATAGCTCATATTGCCAAACCAAGATCTATATTAATCTAGAGCAGTTAAATAAATTTTTATTTGTAATTCATACCGAGTTGGAAAATGGGATAGATAATAGAAAGCTCCTGGACTTTCATTCATGTTAAATCCTACAATTGCAAAATGCCTTTTAATTCCTGTCAAACTTACATGCACACAATTTCATTTCTAAAGCTACCCCCTTGTTCCTTATGTATGACTTTTAAAGGCAATACATTATCCAAGTAAGAAACTCAGACTTCCATTATTTTTCACAAACAACAACTTTTGACCCAAGACAAAACAAAACAGTCATACGAATACTTAGTTAACATATACACTTGTACTAAAGCATTAGTGGTGAGAGCTATCATTTAATGCAATAAAATACATTATAAAAATGCTCCATAATAAATTACAGAAGTAGTTTAGTCCCTTCTATTCTTAAAATATTCTCTCAATATCCCTCATTCAAAATGATATCATCTTCTGGCTACAGCTAATGTGTAATCACACTCTATCTTTCATGCTCTCATATTTTAAACTTCACCTCCTTTTGCCAGATTGTCTAGGGAGGTCCAATTTCTTTAACTATTATGAAAATAAATGTATTTTTTATTTGGAATCAACCATCATCCTGGCCCCCAATACCTTTCATTTTTCTCAAGTATCATCAAAGTATTTATCCAAACAAAAATGGTTTCATCCCCTATTCAATTTCTAATAATATCTCATTTAGAGACATTTACCTAGTTTACTGTTGGCTAATATAGTCCAATATTACATAGCATACCTGTATAACAAGAGAACTATAGATATTGGAATGAAAGGATTATTGAATTAATTATGGCCTGAATATTAAGAAATCTCACACACAAGCACACACAGACACATGTGTTCTTCTCACTGCAATTTTACTTTTGTTAATGTTTGAAGGTATAAAATAACATATTATATAGTATCCTTTTTATCTGCTATTGAGATATTTCAGAGAATTGGTGTGAAAAATGATAGAGGTGAAATATTTAATTGTATGGCAAACGTATAAGAATCCAGGTAAAGTGGCTTTTCATATCCATTAAAGATTGGTTGTCATGATGGCCTTTACTCACCAGAAAAAGGCAATAAAAGAAAAGGTATCAGAGTATGTAGAAGAGGTACTCTTCTGAATTATGCACACACTTTTTTCCTTTCTTTTATGCTAAATGCAATAAGCCAGTTAGAGAAATGTAAGTACCATATCATCTCTTATCCATTAAAGATTGGAATGGGTACATAAAAAAAAAAATTACATAGGTCATTGGAATTGGAATTCCAATCAAAGGGATTGGAATGTTTTATTGAGTTGTAACCTGTGTGGTTTTGTGAATCAATGTCACCTCAATAAATTATTTTTTAAATATTTTTATTGGTCACCTCAATAAATTATTTTTTAAATATTTTTATTGGTTTCAGAGAGGGAAAGGGAGAAAGATAGAAACATCAATGATGAGAATCATAGATTGTCTACCTCCCGCATGCCCCTAACTGGAGATCGAGCCTGCAACCCCAGCATTCTTATATGTGGAATCTAATGAACAAAATAAACTGAGGAGTAAAATAGAATTAGAGATATGGATACATGGAATAGCTGCCAGAGAGGGGAGGAGGGTTGGGGGACTGGATGAAAGTAAGTAAAGGGATTGACCTAAAACATATATAGATAACACATAGACAGAGAGGACAGTGTGGTGATAGCCAGAGGGAAATAGGGTAGGTGGAAGATGGCAAGGGGTGGGGCGGAAATGGGGACAGAAGGAGACTTTGCTTGGGGCGATGGGTGCAGGATGCAGTGTGCAGGTGATGTTTTATTGAGTTGTAACCTGTGTGGTTTTGTGAATCAATGTCACCTCAATAAATTATTTTTTAAATATTTTTATTGGTTTCAGAGAGGGAAAGGGAGAAAGATAGAAACATCAATGATGAGAATCATAGATTGTCTACCTCCCGCATGCCCCTAACTGGAGATCGAGCCTGCAACCCCAGCATGTGCCCTTGACCAGAATCAAACCTAGGACCCTTCAATCTGCAGGCTGACGCTCTATCCACTGAGCCAGGGCAATAAATTAATTTTTAAATGATTTCTAGTGTTTGCAAAGCCTTTTCTATAGTCAACATTCCAATTCTTAATGACAAGTAGTTAACAAATGAATTTTTCTTTGTAAGTAGACCTAACTTTATTTGAACAAGACTCTTTTCAAAGATGCTTTGGCTTTGCCTAGCTGGATTAATAAATATAATCCTATTAATAAATAACATTTGTTAAAAGAAAAACATTTTATTTCAAATATTCTGAAATAGGTTGACTATGAATCTCTTGTTGGGCTTAGCTATACTTATCACTTGGAGGGAAAAAGAAGAAAACCTCCTGGTGACAGAATTATACGTAGCAGATTCCATGATTTCACAAGGGTAGCTATGTCTAAAAAGCCAGGCCCATATTGGAAATAGCATCACTAGGCTTTTATCAAATACTTCTCATAAATCCTATATGCACAGGATTATTAGAAATTTAAAAAATCAATAATGATGAGAAAATATCATTTGGAATCAAATGCATTTTTTTAAAATATAAATATTCCACAAAAATTATGAAGCATACATGAAATTGATTTTACTTATTAAAGGCCAAAATGGAGCAAAATTTAACTCCCTCTTAGCCAATAATTCCCCAGGATACACTGGGGGCCATTGGGCATCTCTGACTTCACACTCATAGTGAAACAACGCTGTAATGAAATAATGAAGAGCAGCATCTGTGAGACTGGAGAGGGCCTGTTTACACTGGTCTCTCCGAACATGCAGATTCCAAAACTTTACTTTTGCTAAGTAGACATTTGTCTCCTCAGGTGTTGTTCAGCTGAGATGTGACCGCAAGAAAGAGAATTCATCCGTGGTAAGGTAAGCAAAATAAGACGATGTGTTTGAAAACCATAAGAGGATCACCAGACAAAAGCCAAGTATAATAAGTACGTTACTTCCCCCAGCATAGAGAATACAGTCTCAAATGGGTACTAGAATTGTTGGGGTGACCACTATGTTATACACCTGAAACTCATATATAATATTGTATGTCAACTGTACTGGCAAATTTACATATTTACAAGCATCTTAGGATGAACTGGAATCAACTGTAGTTCACTCTCTGGCCATTTAAGCTTCAGATTCCCAGATGTTATTAATTAGAAACTGGTTTTTCTGGATCTCAAATCCAGATTACTAAGTAGTCTCAGGATATGTCAGTGGTCTACTCTTGGTCTAATCAGGTGTGGACTTCCCTCTGATCAAGAAAGGCAAAGGAAGAAATATCTGAGAGGGAAGCAGGAGGCAGAGCTGGTGGGATAAGCATGTCTCAGGGAAGTTACCATGAAACACCAGAACTCCCCACCAGGGTGCAGGAGCAAATCTGTGTTCTTGTTGGTGAGTCCTACTCAGGTGGGAGATAAGGGGGGCTGAGATTGGCTTGATAAAAATCCTGACACAGATGCCATAACCAGTTAGGCTCAGTGGATAGACTGTCTGCCTGTGGACTGAAAGGTCCCAGGTTTGATTCCGGTCAAGGGCAGGTACCTTGGTTGCGGGCACATCACCAGTGGGGGTGTGCAGGAGGCAGCTGATCAATGTTTCTCTCTCATCGATGTTTCTAACTCTCTATTCCTCTCACTTTCTCTCTGTAAAAAATCAATGAAATATATATCTTAAAAAAAAAAATCCTGTCACAGAGGAGCTATCTTGTCATCTTGAAGCACAAGTGGTCCCTTTAAAAACCAAGACCTTGGGATGTGTTGGTGCTTGTTTCCAAGAGGAAGAGAGGCACCCCATTCCACCCCAGTTCTCAGAACTTAACATCTTTCCCATACTTCCATTTAACAAGCCCTTGTGTCCATACTTGCCTATACAAATACAAAGGAAATAACTCGCTGCTCTCACATCTTTTAAAACACCACCTGCTTCCCCTGCAGCCCTGACAGCGCTGGCTGCCTCAGAGACCCTAGTTAGGGACTCAGACTCCGGTGCATTGTGGTGACACTTGACCTTGTTCTCATCACCTGAAGATTACTTACAGGAATTCCCGGACCATTTGTCTTACATGCACAATAGTGTTGCTAGAATGGTATTCATGGACTTTGAAGATGATAACTAAATCTGGGTTCCATATGCCAAATATAACCTGGCACCAGCTGGTGATAAATCTGTTCTCATCTCTCTGAGGGAATTCTTTTTAAAATTCATGACTTAAAATAATTTCTTGTACACTCGGCAAGCGTGTGTCTTCATACATAGTTGTACTAAAACCCTGCAGCGTTATTTCTCTAATCTGAATTACATTCTTTTAAAAATAAATTAAAACTAGCGTGCTGATATCTATACCACAGAGGCTATCTCCACTTTTCATTCCTGAGCTGGCATTGTCCTGCTGGAACTCAGACCCAGTTCTAGGAAGGATTGGACAGGTGGTAAATAAAATAAAATGTGTCATGCTTTTTCCAGAATTCTTCATCTGCTCTGAGTCCAAGAGAACCAGCCCAAGCTTGTTTGAGCAATATTTTTAGCTGAGTTTTCTCCTAGGAGATTTATGAAAGCAGCATCGCACTAAAATAAAATATCTGTTGGATATTGAGACATAGCAACGCTGCTTTGAAAACTCCCTCAAAGAGTGCAAAGCACCAAGAGGTAGACATTCTTGTGCCCTCTGTACCAGGAGGTTGTCTTCCTATACTTTTCTAGAAAAAAGAGTGATGACAATGATTTCAGAGCATCAGCGATGAGAGATCCATGATGTGAGGATGAAGGGGTGTCCTGTGATAGAGCCACATGACTGTTGTGGTGGCACATTTATTAAAGAGAACAGAGAGGCTAAGAACAACACTGGCTAGAAAAGAGCTGCCAAACATAGAACACATGAATACAACCCAAAGAACCCCGACACACTGTAGCTGATTTTTTTTGAAAGACTGAACACACTGAGTGGAAAAGGACATTGTGATGCCCGCAGTCCTGATTTAATAAATGCAAGAATAGATAACGGCACAGAAGAATAAATGATTTCCAAAATTCATCAAAAAGCCGACATGCTGTGAAAGAAAAACAAAATAATGTGTAATTAATAGGAAGCTTTGATTAAAAATGTGGTCTGGTTTAAGTAATCTTGTATAGAAGCAGTGACTATAGTACAGAAGCCTTAAACATAGTACATTTCATGTTTAATATTTTGGAAATATTAGAATTCTTAATTTAAATTTTATACAATTCTAATCAAATAAATTTCCTGCTAATTTAGTAAAAGTTTAAAATATGGACAATTCTGAAATATAAGATAGCTAACACTTGCTTATCCTAACTGTGCCTCTTCTATATTATGTAACCCGGAACAAATGATTTCATATTATAGGATTGAACTTCTGTGCCAATAAAATTAGTCAGAGAGGTGGAATACCTCTAAGGTTTCCTCTCGCTCTAGACTTTAAAAACCATCCATCAGGTCTAATTATCAACCACTTAATCAATTAAATTTTGAAATTCAATATGATATTTCAGTCAGTCAGTTGGGTAAAATGCTACTAATAAAGACAGTAGACTTTTAATAAGTTATAATAATATATTTAAAAGTTCAGAGGTGAATTTTGTAGGCCAAGAGACAAATTATTAGATTTAAATATAAGATTATAAGAGTAAGTAATAATATAGTATGCTATTTCATTACTTAATATATTTTAAAACATCAGTTACTAAATGAATTTTGATCATAGTGGCTATATTTATACTGATTGCCACATGGATTTTAACCTTTTAACCATTGGGAACATCGCCATGCCCCAGACCCAGGTAGGACAGGTGATTTTTAAAATACAGAATAATAATAACAGCATCTCAACAAGTACATGGTCCGTGAAAGATTTCCAACATGCATAAACAATACATATGCTTAGAAGTAGACAGACTTCCCAGGACAATCTTGTTCTTTCTCTTCTTATTGGTATGAAAGATTTATTCTTCAGAGGATTAAAAAAAGAGTACTTTTTCAAACATGTTCTTTTTAATGAGGGTCTATCTTATCGGAATTGTTCTGCATATAGTCTTTAAGTTTGCAAGATAATGTTTAATATTTTTAATTTATAAGAGAGTATAATTGGGAGATTCAAATAGGTTAATATAATGCATAACTAATATAATTCAGTTAATAATAGCAGAATTAAGCTTCAAAATGTGTTATGTTGTTTCCATTCATGATATACACAATTTGGCCACTCTTCATGAAATACTTTTTTTCTGGGGGGAAAAAAACCCACACATTTATTTAGTCACAAAAGATTAGTTTAAGTTTAAGCTCTAATATTTACTTGTAAGTACTGTACATACGACTCTAAGCTGTGTGGCACTTTTCTGGTTTTCCAACTTATTCCTAACAGTTATGAAAATAGTATGATATTGATGTATTTCATACATATTTAAAACCACAGTAATTTGGAGTTGTTAATATTAGTAGTAAAGGATGAAATCCAGACAAAGGATGTCAAAAGAGGAAGGAAAAATGGACACCAGATAGAACACATGGCCTCTAGCATGGCACTTACTCCTCATGCATTTGATTTCTCACTCAATGTTCTTTGATTCTGAGACATTTGACTCTCCCCACATGTCAGAGGCTACATGTGATGCCGTGTCGCTGTGCTGCATTTATGAAAACCTCTCTAACCCAAATATATTTCTTATATATTCAGGAAAGGAGAAAAGCCATAATTTATACCCTAGCTGCACTTCTTAAGGACAACATGACCTAGAATGACTTACTTAATCAGCATTATTTATGTGGAAATTGGAGAGAACTACTGTAAAAATTAGATTAAGTTTAATATATAATTCAGTTGACACAATGCTGTGTTACTGTGTTGCACAGACTCAGTAAATGGTATAAAAAATGCCTTTATCATTACTCTTTATGTGCTGAATTTCTAACAAAAGTAATGTTTAAATGTATTGCTAAGCAAAAGCATTGATCCTGAGAGAAAATAAACATCTATCCGCCTTTATCTAGGCTCACTTTTTCTAAAGGCATTTGCAAACTCAAGAGCCAACTCAAAGAAGGGGCAAAAAGACTACAAGCATGCTTCTTCAAAGATCTTACCTTACGAAGAACACTGCATAAAATGTCAAGTTCTCTTTTTTGAATACATTCATAACAAATTTTAACATCCAGCACAGAATCAAATGCCATGGGGAAATGCTTACAATATCTTCTAATTTATATTAATGAACCAATGGAACAATAAGTTAGATTAATAAAGATGGTTATTTTTTGGCTTAATTCTTGGATTGTGTACTTAATATATTTTAAAACACCAACCATCAACCAAATCTACTTGCCAACTAAACTCATTTGCTTTGTGAAGGAAAGTGGCTTATGTCAAGAAAACGTATTTGCCTAAAGCACCACACTTTATTTCTTACAATTCCATGACTTACAGCTATTTCTTACTCCTATACTTGTTTGTGGTTGATGATTCAGGATGGCCTCACTCATAAATACAGCTATAGGCAGGCTGCTTGGTGTACAGGGGTTCGTATGGGAGAGCTTATGTCTGCCTTATGTGGGCTCTTGGATGTCCTAGGGTTTTCTTTGCCTGAGCAATCTCAGGGTTCCAAATACCACTGAGAAAGCAAGCCCTGGTGTGCAATTGCTTTTCAGATCTCTTCTTGGGTTAGATTTGTTAATGTTCCTTTGAATGAACATTAACATTGGCAAAACCCAGATCAGAAAGGCGGAGAATTAGACTTTACTTCTTGATGAAGGGAGTGGCAGTGTGGCATTGGAGTTGCACATACGGGGAGGGGAGGATTTGTGGTAATTCTGTGCTCTGCAACACTAACTGAGCATGCTCAGATTATTGCCTGAATTATGC